ATATATATAAGTATGTGTATGTGTATCTATATATATATATGAATATGTATGCACAGCGACATCGCTTGGAACCTTTCTTGCAATGCCCGCCAACGGAATCAGCAGTTAAGGCGGATCGGTACTTGGACCAAACGCAATCAAGGAAGATTCTTCCGGGGCGCCATGTTTGGCTAACAGTTTCGCACATGAAAAAAAGCGAGAAATGAGGCTGCAAACCTCTCAAGTAATTCAGTTCATGAAATGTTTGCACCCAGCGGTCATAAGGTCATCAGGTCTCACGAATGACACCCTCCACTCTTAATCAGGCGAAAGTTGCTCAGTCCGAATCAGATCAAGCCGGAATCCCGACAAGGAGCCGCATCGAGCTCTGTACGAAACTGGTTCGGCTGTCGTTGTTGAGGCCCGGCAAGAGCACGACAACCTAAACTGACCGAAATAGACTCGACTGATTGCATACGGCCCTATTCTTAACTCCATTCATGTTTGTATGTCCTGACACACTGCGCTTTGACCAAGTCGCTCGGCCACTATCGGTGAGGGGAGGCTCGTACCAGTGCAGCGACATAGTGCCTCATGCCCAGGGAGTCGATGCCTGCTCCCCTTTTCTATCGGTTTACATGGAGGTTTCGGCTCTGGGCTTCCAGGTTGGATTCGTGAGCTTTCCGGATGAAACTAAAAGCCAAAAGCCAGCAACAGGCATATTCAATCTCCATCGACAGCATGAACAGCATCATCGCGTAAGGGTCATTATCACCAGCACCTACACATAGTCATCGTGGTCACGGCGCACTCCTCCTCAGCAGTGCCAGCAACGTCGCCGGGCTGCGAGTGTGACAAAAGCAGGGACACTCTTGTTGCAAGCCGTGGACAATAGGATCCTTGCCACAAGTACCCCCCCCAGTTGACCCTGGTTGAACGACAACCATCACGTGAACTGACCACCGGTTTCTGTAAAGGAACTTAACAGCGCTGCTAGAGTTGAGAAGAACACATGTTATTAGCTCTAGTTCCGTGACTACTATGGTAACTTATCTTAAACGCCTTCACAAGAACCCACGAAACCCCAACTGAACCCTAAAGTCCAAACTCTAGATCTTGAGCCCACCTTATGCCGCAAACCCTAAACCCCAAAGTTTAAAGTTTAAAGGTCCCCTGCAGAATGCCTCCATCCGACAACTCCAGGACCTCCATGCGGCCCCGCATGTGCATAGAAGGCATCACCTCTGAGGTGCGAGAAAGCCACGGTTTAGGGTTTCGGCTCTCACACTCGGACAATGCTGGCGAAGCTTGTGGTCTTAAGCCGGCTGTGGTGAAACCAACTGAACGAAAGCTGGGAGGGCAAACATAAGGACCAACAGTACTAACCCTGCTAGGGAAGTTGTCCCTTGCTTTGCATGCCCGACCTCCTACATACACAAGAATGCCTAGTTGAGGAGTTCGGGCAGTAGGATCGCATTCAGGGCCCGGGACGGGGGTAGAATCTATGACTTACTATGCATCACTACAGGCGGGATGCCTTGGGTGCACGAATGCGATCCGTTCCAGAAAGACTAGTTCGTCCTTTCAAGAATTCTACTCCTGCAACTGACCCTGGATTTAGTTGCTGAGTCGAGGGAAGGTCCGCCTTGTACATACATGGTAGAACTATATACTACTTGACATGGTTTGAGGCTACCTACTGGACTACCCCCACAGCAAAACAACCAGTGGCAAAGCAATGTTTTAGCATTGGAGCCCATATACAAAAACTCCCTCTGCACAAACTTAATCGACTCGTGGAAACATTCCTGAATTAAGTGATATGGGGTGGGGCTCCCCGAGTACTGCGTCAACCTTTGAATCATACCATAGGAATGAAGCCCTTTGCAACTTATATACGATTTGGGAATATGGACCCCAAGGACTTCTCTGACGGGCTTAGAGGCTGCCCATAGGCAGCTGTACATGGTCGAGAAGTAGCCGCTGAACTCCAAGATCGGGTGTGGCCTCAGAACGGCTGTTCTGGTGAGAAGCTTGAGGTTGGACATGTTTGTACGGGGGAGGTGGTCCAAACCCTGAACCATAAACTTACGGTTTATATCATGAATGACCCCTCGATACCCCTAAACCCTACAGCCTACGGCGGAACTGGGCCAGGGGTTCAGGCGCGGAGGAAAATTCATGCTGTTTGCAGGGGGTTTGGCCAGGTGCTGCAAGGGTTGCACAAGGTTTTCTACCGGGGTTTACAGGCTGAAGTGCTCTGACCTCCTTGTGGCGTGGTTTTGCCTTGGTGCTTCTTCTGGTCATGGGCCCGAATGCGCTTGGCAAAAGTGTGGACCGGGCTGTTGGGGGTACTCAGATGTTGAAAAGCCCCTCCTGGATACCAAACAAAGCTCCCGCACCAAGTCAAACCTAGAGCTTCTGCTGCGCTCACCTCTGCTCCCCCGCCCTCGCACTCAACATCCTACCTGGCTCATTCGCGAATGCACCACAACTTCCTCACGCGCAATCCCATAATACCGCGCACTAGGGGCCAGTAGTCACTCAACACAAGCTTCACCTGCTGGAGAAGTCGCTGGTCCTGCCAAAAAGGATCCAAAAAGCATCATGCTCCTTAGGCCTGCGACGTTCAAGCTTCCGCATCTTCGGGCGCAAAGAAGCGGCAGTCTGTATAACCTTTCGTTCAAGCAACGAAGACCCAACAAAAACAGGACAAAGTCGACAGATATTCAAACCCTCAAACCCTCTCTGGCACGCACCATGCCCTCCACCTCTCATTCTGTGCAGCTGTCGAACCCAAAACACCAAATCATCAAAGCAAAACACAGGGAGACCTCGGGGTGCTTTTCATCGACAGGAGAGTGAAAGAGCACCGCTGGTCGAAGTTCCTCTCCTCAACATGCGCAAGTCCACTTTGAGCATGAGATCATGAGATCACCAGAACGCACAAAAACGCGAAGAACAGCACTGCCAAGCTAGCAGGAGCTGCGCAGATATCGCCGCATTAGCATTACTGCCAGCGCCGTAGCTGATGTCGCCCCCAGCACAGCACCCTTGGCAACATCTCGGCCAGCCATGGCTGAGCGGCGATGTAAGAGGCGGCGTGCTCTGGTTCAGCCCGCTGCTCGCAGAGTGTGCACATTAGTTGCATGTGTGCGTGTGTGTGTGTGTGTCTCTGTCTCTGTGTGTGTGTGTGTGTGCGCAGTGTCTGCACACGGAATGAGAAACTGAATCTCGCAATATTTTGTTGTGTCAGCCCTCCAGTCAGCAGCTTGCGGGCAAGTCGGACAAGCGGATCTCGGGTCAGGTTGCTGCAGCATCTGAGAACAGTCGACAGGGCAAGCAAGCTCAGTGTTCCCTGAACTGCAAGCTTGTCTTCCGATACGGCTGCGACGCACGAACCCTGAAACTCTAAACTCTCACGCCCGATTGTACAGGGCCCTTGCAGAAGCCCTTCAAATGAGCTCCCAAACCGAACCATTAAACCCTCGCGACCGAGCCTCTTGAGCAGTATGCATCTCCTTTCGGCTGCACGTCCTAGGCTGGGATACGGATTGCAGGTGCCGGGATTGATGTAGGATTTTGCCTTGGGCCTTTAGGCGTTTGGGCCCATGGCCTTAAAGCCTGCAGAACCGAAAGGCGACTGCAAATGTGAGCTCCAATGGCCAGATGAACTTTGTCAATGTCCTGAAAGTGTCGCGTGGCCTGAGGCATCCACACTGTAGGAAGCTTGCTGCAAAGACTCGCAAACAAGGCCATCAACCCCGATGATCAACACTAAAATTCCAAAGACTCACATCGGCGGAAGAAGTCGCAATGCAGACCTAGCAAGGCAAGGAGCTTCAGCACGGCCACCATGTCATCCCAGAAGAGACCTTCATCGAGCTCTTTATAGATAAACTCGAAAATTATGTCGGTGATATCTTAACTTGATGAATATAATTACGGGTGTCTGGTTGCCGAAAGTCCGATAGGATGAAGATGTGCAGGCTGCGTATCTTGAAAGTTTTACATGCACACAGTTATCTCTCTGTACACACGCACAGCTATATATGCATATGTTTCAGTATACCTAAATAGTATATGCATACACATACCTGAAACTCAGAAATCGAAGAACCGGTCTGAAACACTTCGTGCAGGAGGCTCCGACAGGGTTTATAATGGCTTTCCAGAAGATTGAGAAGGCTTTATGATTCGGCAAACTGAAGGATCCGGGAACCTTTTAAGTAATGACTTTGAAAGCTGCCAACAAGGGATTTCAAAGCGTCCAGAAAACCAGGAGACTTGACCGGCGCTAGCGATGCATCATCCTTGCTGACATCACAAACAGCAGTGTGATAACAAACTTCATCATCGTCACCGACATCATCATCATCATCATCACCATCAGCGTCGCAGTTGAAGTTATCATCAGCATCACCCACTTAAGATATGCAGGCAGTTGTTGGTTTTAGCGAGAACGTTAAGCAGCTGTAGGCCGCCCGCATTCACCGCCGTCACCACCCTCCTGCCGCCATTCTCAGCCTTCCCTTTGTCATGATGATGAGGATAAAGTATCGTCATCATGGCCACCCGTTGCTATCCCAAACCTAAACCCGGAACTCGGAAACCTAAACTCTATAGATCCGTCCTAGCGACCCTTGTAACTTATGGAACGGTTTAACGAACCCTGACACCCTACCTCGTTCCGACGTCTGGGGCTCCATTGTAGGCCGGAGCTCAGCGATCTGCCACCTGAATTCTATAAGGATCCGGCTTTCTTTGCCTAGGGTTTACGATTGTTTTCTTTGGTAACTCCCTTTCCCAACTCGCAGAGGTGTCGGGAAGCGGTTAAGGGTTTAAGGTTTCGGGTTAAGGGTTACTCTAAGACAGTAGGGCCTCTATAAAGGATAGGGTAAGGGTGCCTCCAAGCGCTATCTCATCCGTAGGGATCTCTGTCAACTCAAACTTCTCTTGAATTTGGCTGGCGTTTTGCAGGGTTCCCATGCTCTCAAGATTAGGGCTGATACTGCGACATATGAAGAAGTATAGGTTCTAGTCTGGTCCGAGCTCCAAGACACCCCCTTTCTGGCCCTGGACTGGGCACGATTTACGGCACAAGTGACGCGACAGCCGACAAAGATATCTCAACAAGCCACATGAGACATACTTTAACCTCGAACCAAGGTGATTTAAACCCTCAATAACATCCCACCACACGCATAAACACCCGTAGACAGACAAACGCACGCACTCATACACACACACACACACACGCTGGCTGATCCACACCGAACGCAAATTTGAAGGCCAACCCCCAGCCATCTGAAGATCAAGACCTTATGTCGAGCACCTGACAATGCACTCAAACTCAAGCTCTGCAAGGCATTATGTCATTATGCAATACCGCACCTCCAGGAGACAAATGACAGGTACTTCCAGGGTTTGAGGCGTATACTTGCCAAACAAGACCCTTCAGAACCTGTTTGTTAAGACTGCTAACAACTTACAGTAGTACTTGCCCTATAAAACTCTGAAAAACTGGGTTCCCAACAGAAGGGACCAGCTAGGGGCATGCTGACGAGTGGCTCCGTACCCAACTCATCGTTGCGTCCGCGCAGCGACGCTAAGAAGGCCTCAGAGAACTGTCTGGACAAACGCTGCTCCTAAACCAGGACACCGTAGTGGGGATAGTAGTGGTGGTAGCAGTAGCAGTAGCAGCCGCAGTAGCGGCAGCAGTCAGCAGCAACAGCAGCAGGAGCAGGAGGAGCAGCAGTACAAGTACAACAGCAGTAGTAGTAGTAGTAGTAGTAGTAGTAACAGCAGTAGTAGTGGTGGTGGTGGTGTGCTGGCAGTAGTAACTAGTAGCAAGAGTCGCAGTAGTGGTAGTAGTAGTAGTAATAGTAGTAGTAGTAGTAGTAGTAGCAGCAGTAGTAGTCGTAGTAGTAGTAGTAGTAGTAGCAGTAGTAGATTTTGTGTCACCCACTTGGCACGACGAGGTCAGCACTTGTGGCCAGCAGTGGTAGTAGTAGCAGTAGTAATAGCAGTAGTAGTATTAGTAGAAGTAACAATAAGAAGAATAATAGCAATGACAATTAACAGTCGTAGCCGTGGTCGTAATAGTAGTCCTGGTCGTACAAGCAGCAATGTAGTGGTAGTGGTCGTGGGTAGTAGTAGTAGTAGTAGTAGTAGTAGTCGTAGTAGTAGTAGTAGTAGTAGTAGTAGCAGCAGCAGCAGCAGCCCGCAAGTGTAGTAGTAGTCGTCGTCGTAGTACTAAGCCAGCAAGGTTACAGATTTTTCACAGCGACATCCCCGCATGCAAACTCAGGAACCCCTCCGCTACAAGAGCCCTGGAGCCCATCGAAGCCCTGCACATGCCAAATGCAACCACCTGCCAGGCAGTAACGACTACTATCTCTCTCTTAGTCCCAGTCCTTTGGGTCATCGATGGCCAGCTGGAGGTCACGCAAGGAGTTGACCTGTCACTCGCATCACGAAGGCTTAGAGTCCCTGCACGAGACAGCCAGAAAATCGGAGCAACCAGACCAAGTCTTGTGAATTTGAGCCTCGTTCTTTCCGAAGTCTTATCTCCAGTGGTTCAGCACAAATTTTCTTGGGAGTCTCTCTCGCTCCGTGCCTCTGCGTGGTCTTCACACATAATGCTTACATCCCATGCCCATTTGGCCGAAGACAACTTGATTGGCTAGACGTAAGGCTCAGATCTGACTGGAGCCGTGGCTAAGACGTGGCCGACAAAAATGCGCTTAGAACCTTGAAGAGTTCTTGAAGTCGCAACACATGACCCACAAACCTTCAGCCCGAAAAAACTGACACTAGCTTTGCTGGCCTTGCGGAGGATCGGTCGCGCATGATCCCACAGAACCTCTCGCAGAAGCTCCGATGAGGCTTTAGTCTTTCAGACGTTATGAGCTTTTTCCTTTCATCAGAGACCGGTCTAACAGTGTCCTAACTAAAAGAGTGTCGCAAAAAAAGGTGGTAGCGTACGGGGTTTAGGCTAGGCATCCTAGGTCCTGTCGACGCAAACGGTTGCTTTCGATTTCAGTTTGTTGGACGCCAAAGAGTCGGTGGCGGGAGGGCGTGCCTGCATCTCTTTGAGAACTGGTTCTACAAACCTGGGCTGGTGCAGAAAGCTCAGGAAGAAACGGGGCTTGGCTGACGGGTGTGCGATTGCCAGGCATGTGAAATAAACATGCTCTGTTTCAATTTGCAGTCTTTGCAAACCTCACTAGCACCAGGCACAACTGTTCCGAATATCACAGACAGAGATTGCCAAGGTAAGGCTCGTGTGTGTAGCGGTGGGGTGAAACCCTGTAGGCATTTGCAGCAGCGACTTCAGATTGCAGCGAACTCCGCGTAAGGCTAAGGGAGGTGTCAAGGAGTTGTGAACAGAAGCCTACAAGCCTGCGAAATGACTTGGTGCAGCTCACTTTTCCGTGCATACGACAACACCAAGGCTTTTACCGAAAACAGCTTCCCTGCAAGGCTTCGAGGGTAGTTGGGGTTGAGGGTTCGCAAGTATACCAAACCGCACCCGGATGAAGAAGCTCCGGCCACCCCAAACATCACCACATCAATCCATCCGGTTCCCCGCTTAGCACACCAACATTGAAACCTTGCCATCCCAAATCTTGTACCCTGAACCCCGGAAAGTCCCTGAACGGCAGGAGTCCTAAACCCCAACACAACAAGGCGAAATCTAGGTGTCTCATACAATGAGGGGAAACTGCCATAGTAAGGACCCCGTAGTAATCATAGTACTTGTGTCTAGCCCACCACCACAGATTCTTGAAACTCCCATCTCTGAATGAAGCCAACGGCCAGGGAACATCCGCAGACGCGCGAGCGCCATCTTCAAGGCCTCAGATAAAAACTACTGCACAAGAGGGTTGCCATAGCGGTCTTAAGAGCTACGAACACCTGTTAGGACTCCAATTATTATACTACAAGAATAGCTTAGTTGCCTTGAGCCAAGCCAAGCCCGAAACAAGCCGAAATACCTGGCATCTAATTGCGGCCTGGAGAGGCTCGGAGTTTCACAAAAAACACTGCGACGATCAAAAACCATGGCCGCGAA